ATATCAGCAACAATTTGCAAATGATATTCAACACGATTTGACCTATAACCTAAGAGAAGGTTACGAAGCCGAGGTAAAAATTTTTAAAAAAAAAAAAAAAAAGAAAATTTAATTAAAATTTAAATCAATTATTTTTTTTTATTTAGTCTGAACCTGAAATAAATGGTTTGCCTTCACTGACTTTGCCTTCCATCAGTGAAGATGACGAAAACATTCCCGAAGAAGGAGAAACTTCTCCATTATCTCCTCACAAATCTCCATTACTATCAAATTCTAATGCTAGTCCTGGAAAACATGCAAAATTTAATCCACGCTTAGAGGAATTGAGGTAAATAAATATTTCATTTTTTTTTTTAAATTCTTTTTCTGGAACGATTGGTTACTATTGTAGAACCTACGAGCCTTCAAGAAAAAAAGGATCACCTAAAGAGAGAAGAGTTGCTATTGTAGGAAATTCATTGGCTGTGAATCCAAACGAACCTGAACATACCTGTAGTAGCGTTGAAAGACTGGATACGCACGTAACGTCACTTCATCAGGATGTGGCCACGCTTAGCTTAGAAGTAAGAAAAATTTTATTTGAATTTTTTTTTGAGAGAAAAAATTTAAAACAAAAAAAACTTTCAGGTACGGAACGCGATACAAGCCTTGCAAGAATTAACTTCGAGCGGTCATGCAATGGCTTACACAAATCCCGTACATTCAAATCCAAATCTCGGAGGGGGAATGGGAGGAATGTTTTTTAGAGGTGCAACGAATCTTCCGAGAAGTTCTTCACATCCTCCGGAAATGTTTTGTTGGGATCACGAAGATCCTAGAAATAACACGTTAGAAGTTAAATCGACTCAAACGGATCATCCGTCCGACATGTTTGAGCAATTCGTTAAAGAAAATCCCCGACGGGTTTTGGTCATTTTAGGACTCGATGCCGATTTAATAATGAGTGCATTGAGCTGTGGTAAAAGACTGATTATTAGTGAGAACGCCTCTAATTGTGATTCTGTTTCTGTTAATTGGGTGCCTCAAAATTCTGTTGTGCCGTATTATTGGCCGAATCCTCCGAGACACAGGTACAGTGCGGATGATTTATTTGACAGAACAAGAACTCATTACGAAGATGGGAAAACTATACCGCATAGTAGATCTGCTAAATATACCATACACCACTGTTGAACAAAATTATTATTTGTGAACATAAAACTTTCTTACGCCTTTTTCTTTTTTTTTTTTTGTTAAACAAAATAAAACTATTAGCAATAATTTGTTTATAATAATTTAAATAATTAAAAAAAAAATTCCCACTTTTAAATAAAATTAAATAATTTCCATTTAAAAAAAAAAAATTAATCAATTAAAATTAGTTATTAATATTTATCTTAAGTGCATTTACGCGGGAAATTTAAAATTTTTTCTTGTAATCATTACAAAACTTTTCTTTTTTTTAAATTCTGTTTTACAATTAAATGCACAAATAAATAAAAATAAATTATTAATAACACAGGACTTTTCCCAATTTTCGACAAAATTTTCCTTTTTTTATTATCCTGTGTAATTTTCTAAACTATTATTAATAAAATTTATTAATTATAAATTTTTTTTTTTTTACGGTAGTTTTCCCATCATTTTTATTTTTTCAATTAAAAGTAGCATATCAACGAGGTTAACTTTGAATTGTTTGTTCTGTGCCTAATTTTCCAACAGAAAAAAATTACTATTGTTTAAAATTATTGTGTGAGTGAATATAAATCTTCTACTAAATATAAAAAAATTGACTGTTTTGTTGTAACAACGACAACAACAACAACAACAACAATTCCATTTTGTGTATTACATTAATTATACTTTTCCTAATTAAATTTTACTTTTAAAAAAAAAATTTTCTTTTTTTTGGTTTTAAATCCAACATTAAATTATGAAAATTCTATTCAATCCTTTTGATAATTAAATGTCTCCGAAACTCAACAAAAAAAATGTTTACAATTTTTTAAAAAGATTCATAATCGAATTAAATATTTTAGTGAATGAATGAATGAATGAATGGAAAAAAAAGAAAATACTTAAAAGATTTCAGTGTAAAAATTTTTTTAAAAAGAAAAATTTAGTTTGGATGTTTGCGAGACAAAAAAAAAATTATAAAAAAAAAAATATAGTAAAAATAAAATAATAATAATAATAATAATAAAAACTCAATTTCATGATTCTGTTTCGGTTACTTGATTCGTTACACTGTCTTCTGCTTTTGTTATACTTTTATTTCCGTTTAATCCGTTCTGTTCGTTTGATTTTGATTTTTTAGGAGAAAGTATGACTTTAACAATACTATTTCGTCTCCTCCAACGATTCCAGGCTCTCGTGTGATGTTGTGCTCTTACAAGAAGCCACGAAAAATAAGCAGTATCGATAGCTCCGATAATGCCGAGACATCCAACGGATACTATTTTCGTGATTGTAGGACTCATAGCTATGCAATTTTCCGTAGTGTACCTAAAAGAAAAAAAAAAATTATCAATAATTAAAACCGCGCAATCGTTTTCTTTTTTTTGTTTTTGGTTCGGTTGAATACCCACCATTGAAATAAAAAATAAACAAGAAAATCCATTATGTTACGAGTAATCATGACAATCATCAAAAAAAATTTTAAACGAAAACCTCTGGCTCGAGTCATTATATTTTTTGTCATAACAATTATTCGACCAGTCCAGAGGAGGAAATGGTAGAAGTTTTGTGTATTCCAACTGTAACAGATACGTTTTCATCAATTGTTAAAAAAAAAAAAAAAAGAAAACCTCCTCTGAACTGTGTGCTTTTAAATCTCAAAAGTGTAAAATTTAAATAATAAAAAATATACCAAGTTTCAGCTGTGAGCAAAGCCATGTAAGTTCCAAAAAATGCCATCGGTGTAAATACAATTAAAGCAAGAAAATCTAACATAATTTCTCTGGCATCTCTTCGTCTTCCTGGATTTTGAAGCCACAAAAGTATAGATTTTATTATTGAATACCTGAAAGCACATATCATAACAAAAATGAATAATCATTCTACTTTGATAACCGTTATTTTTTAATGAAAACAATCAGGTATAACTCACTTTGGCGTTCTAACTGTTTGATATTGATATGAACATAATTCGCATTTTGTTGAATCAGATTCGGCTAACCAATGTTCTAAACATGATAAATGAATGAATCTCATTGTTCCTCTGCAGCAGCAAGTGGTTATTAAATCTTCTTTGCTACCGGCTTCTCTGCATATTCTACATATATCGCTGGAAGAATTAACTAGAGAAATGGATGCCTTTAAAAAAAAAAAAAAAATTTAAAACGATTAAAAGAAAGATCTAAAGTTCATTTTAAAAAAAAAAACTTAAACTCACCGCGTCATTTGGTTTTTGTTGTTGCAACATTAATTGTTTATAAAAATACACAGCTGCTTCTTTTAATGCAATTTCTTGTTTTTCCGTTAGTTGCTCTCCCGCAATACCAGGAGCAAAATCCAGCAATCTATCAGTTAATCCCATGACATCATCACTTGGAGAACTTGTTTCACGAGCCGGAAGCCTTTCCATAATATTCGCAAGCCATTTACACTTGGAATTTTGATAATTAATTAAAATCTATTATTAAATTCAGTTCGAGTAAACATATTTTTTTCTTTTTTTTTCCCTCCGCCTATTTCGACATTTTGTTTATGATTGCTTGGCCTTCTCGAAAATTTTCAATTTTTTTTTTTTTTTTTTAATTACGAAACAAATGTTTTGAAACTTTTTCATTCATTAAACTCCAAAACAAGTATGTTAAATTTTTGGCGCAATTTTTTTCAAAAATGATTCTGAAACATTTTTCCGTTAAAAAAAAAAAATGGCGGAAAATGACAGTGCTTATTAATCAGGTAAATTTTTTGAAAATAAATGTATAATAAATAAAAATAATTTATATAATTAATAATAAAAATAATAATTAATAATAAATTTTAAATAATAATTTTTAAAAAACACATTAAAATAATAATAATAATTAAACAAATAATAAAAGATAAGAAAAATTACGTCGAGTGTCGAACAAACAAACAAGTACTATTAAATATTTAATTTGTATTTTTTTTTTTTTTTTTTTTTTTAGGCTTTTCACCTATGAAAAACACTTTAATTCTCTATTTATTTGCAATTAAATAATAATGATAATAATTAACGATTATATTAGTTATTTATTTTAACCTTATTAACACAGTTTTTTAATCTTTTATTATTATGACAAACATAAATTTGCAAATTTTTTTTTTTTTTATCAAGATAAATATTTTTAAGCCGAAAATATGGATAAAAACTTATCATTTTAACATTAACAATAACCTTTAAAAAAATTATTATTATTATTATTTTATGTACACACGCCCCATAATTAAAATTGTTTAAATAAATGATGTTAATATTTTCTAATTTGTCCACATCATTTTGACGAGACACATCACACTTTGCAAAAAAAAAAAAAAAATAGGAATTTGAAACCTCTAAAAAAAAAAAAAAATTAATAAAAATAATACAGGAAATTTATTATCAAAGACAAACAAGATTAAAAAAAAAAAAAAAAGGCGAACAACAAACAACAAACTAATGTTTAATATAAGGAGTTGAAATGTAAACATTGAATCTTGTTGTCGACAGCAATTCATACAGCCCGGTTGTTGTTGTTTTTATTTTTTTTTTCAGAAAAATTTGCCAATCTTATTAAAAATAAAACGAGTTAATGTGATTATAATTAATTAAATAAATTATTAACATAAAAATTAAATTTTTAATATTTTAAATAAGGAAATGAAAACGGTTTTCACTTTAACTGAATAATTATTATATTCTTTTTTTCAAAAATAATGATGCACGATCATACAATTTATTAAAACTACACGTAAGTAAATACATTATGTATTAATAAAAGAAAAAAAATAACGTTAATAAGTTTTAAATATATATAAAAAATTTTTAATAAAAATAATTATTGAGTAGACAGACGCATTAAAAATCTTTAACAACATGATTATGTTATTATTAATTTTTTTTCTTAGCAAAGTTTTTGTTACAAAAAAGTTTTCTTATTTAAAATAAACTTTTAAAACTTTTAATTAAATAAAAATTATTTAAACATACAAAAAAAATGAAAAAATATCATCATCATTATTATTATTATTATTATTATTAACAATTTAATGTATTTATATTTATAGCTACTATTTTATATATCATAATTTTCATTTATTTTTTTTCTTGAGAAAATTATTTGTATACATTTAATAATATTTAATTTTTTTTTTTAATTTTTGTGGGAGGTGAGAGAGAGAGAGAGAGAGAGAGAGAGAGAGAGACAGAGAGAGAGAGAGAGAGAGAGAGAGAGAGATATTACCTAAAATAGGGAGATTATGTCGTCACATTGAGGGAAAAAAATCAATAATTATCTTTTATAATTAACCTTAAAATAAAAAATTATAAGATTATCATGGTTGTCTATCATCATCATCATTTTTTTTTATTATTATTATTATTGTTAAACAAACATCAATCAATTTAAAAAAAAAAAAGTATGTAAACAAAAAAGAAAAAAATTATCTTAATAATCAATTAATTAATCAATTAATTAAGATGATGATAACAAACAAAATATTTTTAAATAATTTCTTTACAAAAAAAAAAAAAAATGTCTGTGTATGATGGGTGTGTTTGATAACCGTTTAATAAAAACCGTTAAAAAAAAAAAAAAAAGTATTAAAACATTCAAAAAAATGATAAGAGTGTTGTTAATGGTAGAATTTATCAACTCGAAGTTTTAATTACAAAAATTTTAAGTATTTTATTACTTTAAAAATTTTTAAATTTTATTTTCTCTAATTAATTTTTCATTCAAGTAAGCATAA